TTATACAAAGCATCCTCCAGCCCGCTTAGAATATAATTCTTGCACAAAAAATCTGAATGCTTCCACGCCTCAATCACGAGAAAGCGTTCAGTTTCTGGAGTTTCATCGGACAGCACAGGAACATCTTCCTTGATGAACTTCTGGAGACTTAGAGTAGTCAAATAGAAGAACATCTTTTGCTGTCAGCGCTTGAAATCAATCCCGGAAAATTTTCCGGGTTTCTCCGCTGGTGCCAATGTTGCCGGTGTTGTTCGGCTCGTTGAGGCATTGGCAGTCACCATTGGAACAGCTTCGTTCACATTATCATTAGTCATTTCTGTAAAAGAATGACACAAACGTTAAAATCACGTAGATTTTAATAGAGTACAAAACCACAAAGGTTTTACTCTCCAGAAACAGTGAGTACAAATACAGAAAATATATTTGATTCCTTAAGCTTGTTAGTATACTGTATTTGTAAAATAATTCTGGAAATATAAATGAACATAAACAGAAATGAACAACGAAATAACAGAAAACCAATTCGAGCCCACTGAATTCACAGTGTTTCCTTAAGGAATTTAATCCCCTCCTAGTACCCAAGGTTATGGATTATTTCCTCCCAGGATAGAACGAATTACACACTGGTGTAGTGGTACTTCAAACCCCAATGTTTCAGCGAACACAAAGTTCGGTAGCAAATCACACTTACTGTTGCTTTGTTTGATGCTAAAAGTATGCAGAAGGAGGAGGAGAAACTCAGAAAATCGTAGTGAAATTCTGAGCAGAATAGTGTTGTATTTATAGCCAAAGTTGGGCCGAAATCTGAAGAGGTGCAACTCTTCAGAATGGCTGTTTATGCAAAACGGCCACAGCTAAATGCATTACATAAATGGTCATTTACTCAATAATAAAGAGGGAAAATTGAAGAGGGTAGTTAATTTTCTGTTACCAAAACAGAAAAATGGATTGGATTTAATATTAATATTCTGTTATTAAAACAAATATTACGACGACGCGCGATGCTTGCCTTCTTCTCAACTCTTTAAGAGCTAGAAGAAGAGAAATTGCTTATATACCCATAAAAACCCTCTTCCTCTTCCAATATGGGACAATGTCCATTTACCAAGGGGAAAACTTAAAATTTCACTCAAAATTTTTATTTCCCTCCCTTTCCCATTCACCATCTTTTAAGTATTTAATATATTAATTAAATATATAAAAAATCCAACACTAATCAAGATTTGGGTCGCATATGGCCATAAAAGGAGGCGCTCCCTACCAGGAGACCTCTGATTAAAAGTGGAGAATCTCATCAATCTCACCACACTTCTTGGTAGTGGTTCTTTAAGATGTTACTCCTATCTTTAAAAAAAACATGTACATTTTAAATTTTAATTTAATTTTTTTAATGATTTTTTGACATTTCTTAAAAGATTTAAAGTTATAATTATCGGCAATAAATATACTTCTTAAGGTTCTTGTACAACTTTATATAAAACCAGCTCTAAATCATAGCAAGGTCGAAATAGAGGATTCTATGTAGATTTTTGGCCGCAAATTTATTAGAATAACAAGGTTGTCCTAGGTAATAAAACACTACAAATGTTAAATAAACAAAGATGAGTAACTGATTGGTGAAGAAAAACTAGTAAGCTTGACTACGTACCTATTTCCTTTCCAAGGAGACTTCTATCCCATAGAGAATTTTAAATTGTCTATATGCGAAGAAATTAAATACCCTTTTTTCCTCTCCCAGCTTGTCTAAATCGATTTTCATTTTTATTTTATATTTAATATGAATCGATATTATATTAATTATAAGTGCATAAATTAAAACATTAATGTCTACTCGTAATGCCACACTCCATTCACTAAATATCTGTATAATTACAGATAATCTTCTCACAAAGTCTCTGTTCACAACAAAATAATAAAAAGATTAAGGAAGAAACACTATAAGAGACTAACGAACGTAATAAGAAGAAGCTTTCTTACTAACATTCCCAACAATACATCAAACTTAGTGGGCGTTTGGACATAAGAATTGTAAAATTCCAAAAAAAAAAAGTGAAAAAAAATTTCATGTGAAAATAGAATTTGAAAAATAGAGTTGTGCTCTGGACTTGAAATAATTTTGGGTTGTTTTTGAAGTTTTGTGAGTGATCTGAGTGAATTTTGAAAAATAACTTTTTGGAGTTTTTCAAATTTTGGAAAAATTCCAAAATTTATCGTCAAATGAAAATTGGAAAATTATGGCCAAACACTGATTTCGGAAAAAAATGAAATTTTTTTGAAAAAAAGTGAGAAAATTCTTATGTCCAAACGGGCTCTTAGTTAAAAACAACGGAAAAGGACCTGATATATCCCTCTACTTTGTTTTATTGTTCAATCCTGTCCCCCGTTATACTTTCCGTCCAAATTTACCCCTGCCGTCCATCAAAGTTCTATATTTGCCCCTATTTTAACGGTCGGGACACGTGGCACATTCTGAATACGGAAAAGGGCCTGATATATCCCTATACTTTATTTTATTGTTCAATCCTATCCCTCGTTATACTTTCCGTCCAAGTTTACCCATGCCCTCCATCAAAGTTCTATATTTGCCCCTATTTTAACGACCGGGACACGTAACATATTGCAGGAGAAAGAACCAGTACAAAAACAAAAAAACTCCAAACCGCCCTAGAACCCATGACCCGCATGCTCGTTTTTCCTCTCTTAATTTTTTTCCAAACTTCTCTTAAATAAAAACTTTTAATCCGTGTAAGAGATTATCTTAGTCTGACAAAGAGATGAGGTTCAAAGACACAATTTCCGGCGCCGGCGTGACTTCGTGAATGGTCTTGAGTATTTGGGCATGTATGAAGTCTTACTATATTTATTTTAGCCGTAGAAATTACTCCCCAGATTCATTAAACTGTTCGAAATTGGACCCAACCTCCTATCGTTGTTTTGAGATTGCCGGAGAAAGAATTCCATCAAGCCCGTCTGAAGTTTCAAATTTTCTGTCACACCTATTTCAATTTTTTCTTAAATCAATGAGATAGAAAGAAAATGGGCGACTTCGAGCAGTTTTGTTTTCAAAGGTGGAGTTTCATTAAGTGATAACAAGAGGAAGAAAAAAATGTAAGGGAGTGAGGAGTAAGAAAATAGAAGTAAAGAAAAAAATGGTGGCAACAAGCAAAAAGATGACAAAACCTTGTGTCTTTGAACCTCATCTCTTTGTCAGACTAAGATAATCTCTTACACGGATTAAAAGTTTTTATTTAAGAGAAGTTCGAAAAAAAATTAAGATAGGAAAAACGAGCATGCGGGTCATGGGTTCTAGGGCGGTTTGGAGTTTTTTTGTTTTTGTACTGATTTTTTCTCCTACAATATGCCACGTGTCCCGGTCGTTAAAATAGGGGCAAATATAGAACTTTGATGGAGGGCATGGGTAAACTTGGACGGAAAGTATAACGAGGGATAGGATCGAACAATAAAATAAAGTATAGGGATATATCAGGCCCTTTTCCGTATTCAGAATGTGTCACGTGTCCCGACCGTTAAAATAGGGGCAAATATAGAACTTTGATGGACGACAGGGCTAAATTTGGACGGAAAGTATAACGAGAGACAGAATTGAACAATAAAACAAAGTAAAGAGATATATCATGCCCTTTTCAAACATTTGCATTAATGATGCCTTCGGCTGACACTAGCAATAGATATTCTGAATTGTGACAGTAGCAAACCCAATACATCTCTTTATGAGAAGTGGATTGGAAGGAACTCTGTTCTAAATAGGGCAAGTTCCAAATTTGGTATAATTACATTCACTACCCGATATACAAAAAATATATAATGATTATATATAAAATATGTATTTTTTGTATTTATTATAAATTAATACGCAAAACACGCACTTTGCCGGCTGTTATTTTTTAGAGCCGCTATGCTGTGTAATTTTCCTTCTAAACATCACTATTATCTAGCTAGTACATTGCAAATATAAAACTGTAAGTTAATGTGGAGTACAATTGCATCCAGTACTAGTTTAAGAAACTAGAATTGAACTAATATAGATATATATTGTTAAGAGACAGTCAACTATATTCGTATAGTTGAAGTTCAAAACAATACATAGAGTCATGGGCTGGATCTCTGAAGCCTTTAGGTTTGCAAAATCAGTTTTTTTTTTTTTTTTTAAACTTTAAAACAAGCGTTTGGACAATTCCTTGCATTTTCGAGATTAGTTGATCGGTTATCAGAGAGAGCCTTGGAGATTACTTTGTATATTGAGCACTCTCTATAATTATTCTTGTATGGGTCGAAATCTGACCAAACAGGAATCTGCGTGAAGAGGAACGGCAAAGTCACTTGGACCGAAGTCGTGTTCGCATAACGCTATAGCGACAAGCACTACTCAGAATGTTTGTACGGTAATTGGTCGTTACAACATTTCAGAAGGTCAACCTGTAACACAGTTAAATGCCCTAGGTACCCTGGCTAATGACTGTTGTGTAAATGAGAATACTTAGTGTATATACTAGGTGAGAGAATAGAGAAAAGGGAGCGGATTCTCACAAATCACACACTTCTTCACTTAGAGGGGATGAGAATAGGAGAATCCATCTCGAAAATGAGAGAAATTCAGAACTTTGCTATTCATCTTTTATAGCCATCACTATGGAATAAATAAAGATACACCCCGTGGTCATTAATGGTGAATTCTTTCTTTATTCTTTATTTTACATTATGGATTAACAATGCCAAGAATGAATGTAAGCACATCATATACATTAGATCTTTTTCCATTATCTTAATGTGATCAAGAACTTAACCTTACCCAACTCTTCTTACTTATCATTCATTAATGCACAGTCAATTATCTTTAGCTAGGATTAACCCCTTATCCATTCATTAAAATCAGTTAAACTAAAAAGGGCTTAACACTTTTTGGTTGAACAATTCTCAATTTCATTGCAACCAAATGAGCACCTAAAATCATAATACAAGTTATTAAAGGAGATCGATAGTTCAACAAGACACAGGAAGAAGATGATAATAATAACCAGTCTACATTTACCGTTGAGACTTCCTCTCTATTTCCCCACGGGAAAGAGGGATGTCAATTAGATTTATACAGCCAAATTTAGCATCCAAACTGAGTTTAAATAAAAGCAAAATGGAACAAAAATCTCAAGACAAATACGGAAGAGAGAGAAATAGAGCTAGGGTGAGAAAAAGATAGTTTATGAAAGAGGTAAACTGCTAAGCAATGTAAGGAAGAGAGGTCATCTTCCATCCATTTCTTCTCATTATCAATAGCATTAGGCAGCAAAAGGCTTACAAGGGAACCTTCAGGCTCTTCTGTTGGCATAATCACCGGCCTCAACATTGTCATCTCTGAAATCTTCACCTGCACCAACTGGGCTATTAGCATCACCAGTTTCAGCTTGGTTACTGGTATCAACATTGCCAAATTGATCATTGCTGCCAAAGCTGCTCGTGAAACTGTTGCTCGCAGCCTCGCCGGTACCATAAGTGTCACCACTGCCTGCAGCAGCAGCACCTAAGTTCTGGTTTTCACTGGCATAGCTGTCACCACTTGGAAAGTTGTTCCCGCCACTTGTCCCAAAGCCAAAGCTGCTTTCTCCGCTTCCATAACTACCGGCAACATTAGCATCACCACCACCTCCGCTGCCGTAATTGCCACCACCACCATAACCACCACCTCCATAATTACTACCACCACCATAACCACCACCTCCATAATTACTACCACCACCATAACCACCAGCTCCATAATTACCACCGCCACCATAACCACCAGCTCCAAATCCTCCACCACCACCTCCTCCGTATCCTCTTGTCCTGTCGTTTGCTATATTTACCCTAATCCTACGACCATCAAGCTCCTGAAAGAAATGCATTAAAACTAGTTGTCATAACCAGCAAACAGAAATGCATGGATGTATACAGGCATGTCCATACAGAACTCTCTCTCCTCCCCCTGAAGACAATTATCATGCCTATTTAAACACACAGGTTTCTCGATAAACACTGATAGATACCAAGAAAGAACATCACTTTAAAGTTATTCGCATCATGTGATACCAAACACAAAGAAAACGGGTTTTTTTCCCCTGGAGCAGCAAAGTGATGAAAATCCAACACACCTGTTGGTCCAAAGCCTGGATAGCAGCGCTGGCATCCTCAGAACTATTGAAAGTAACGAAGCCAAATCCCCTAGATCTTCCAGTTTCGCGATCCACAATTACTCTTGCTGCAACGAGTTGGAAACTTTTTCAGTAATTCACCAAGAAATTAGTGGCCATATGCATGCCTTCCAATATAAATATATACACGTGTTCATAGTAGCTTCAAACAGTAAAAATTGGTGAAGTAATTCTTCCATTAGTCAAAGTGATTCACTTACTAATTCCAATCAGAAATATACTAATGGTCACTCCATCACTAAGGCCCTCCTTTTACTCAAAATTAGTGCTTTTCATCCTTACAGAGCATCTTGAAATTCATTTCGAGGAGCATCCACAAAAAGAGTACTCCCTAATTTGCCGAATATTTTAACATAAAATTATTCAAATTCTACCCTGGCATTCTTTATTATGTGCAAATAACCATCTCTATAATAATGAAAAGGATGCACCAGAATGCAATAGTATGTAACATGTGAAAGCACGCCTGCAGCTGTCCAGCTTTAACTTCAAGCACAATGCCTAACTTCTATAGTCAAAATCAAACAGAGGTCTAAATTAGACAAACCTTCAACAACGTCTCCGTACTTGCTGAAAGCTTGTTTGAGAGCGTCATCATTCGTGTTCCATGAGATTCCTACATTTTCAAACTAGAGGAAGTCAGCAGAAAATAGAAGAAATGTCGCAAATACTGAGCTTAGCGTAACAGATACACGCACCTCCCACAAAAAGTTTTGAAGAAGACATGCATCTAATAAGTTGAAAAATTGAAGGCTTGGATGCAGATATTTCATGATTGATGTGCTGCTTGCTAACAGCCTGCCGAAGAATGTTCCCAGCTTTGGTAAAGAAAGCCATTCCTGAAAAAGGGGCAGAATAACTAGTATCAAGAAATTAATGAAAAAGGTAAAAGTGTGAATCCCATGATTAAGATTTTGATCAGGCAGCATGCTGTTTATCAACTTACCCTATGAGATTAATCTTTCAGTTTGATACTTCATATAACATTACATGTGGCACAGCATTAAGCTACACAAGAACTAGTTTTGATATTCTGAATAGTCAACTACCCCTAGTTCAAGAGGGGTAAAAAACAAAACCAACTGATTATTCCAAGTAACCTTTAGTTGCCTTCGGCCCTTTGGGAGTGCTCATGTGGAGAGGAGAACAAGGAGAAGGGCGTGGAAACAATTTTCCCCAACCATTTCAGGGTACCGTTTCATATTTACATTTTCATATATCACTGCTTCTATGATTCATTCCTTTATAGTTGAAACTGAAAGTAACAAGTAATTGTCAGAGAAATTAGCTAACCCCTTTGAATGTTAGAGATATTACAATTAATTCGTATATAATGCTTAGAGTTGAGAAGTTCATGCCTTGGAATAGGTCGTTTGGATTAATTTAACAATTAAAAAATCACAAACATTTTCCCTTTTCTTGTCAAACAAAAGTATTCCATGCTCTACGATATATTCTGTTTTACTTTCTCTTCCATAAACAGGACTACTAATACCCAAAGAGAGAAACATATACCCACAACTTCGAATTCATTTTCACATGAAAGCAAATAAGAATGCATATTAACTCATAAATATCTGTGTGATAATAAAGAACTAGTGAAAACCACAGAGAATGTAAAAATTAACTTTTGCACCTTTCCTTAAGCATAGAGATTAGGTACAATCATTATAAACTAATCAAAAGTTCCTATTTTTAACATTAAAAACACTGGAAAAAGGGTTTAGGGTTTTAGGGTTTTGATACAGAATATGAAGTGTAAAGATACAGCAAATAGATGTAATAAGAGAAAACAAAAAGAAAATGAACATACGAATTTAAGCTTAGCTTAGCCGGAAAAATAGACGGAGAGGAGAAGCGTCGTGTTTTTGAACTTTCTACTTGGCCGGAGAAGAGACTGACTGCCGTATTTTTGAAATTTAGGGCGGAAGTGATTATTATATAGGGTTGTCAGTATTTGGACTCAGCACGACCCGTTAGGTGGAATTTGGGCCTGCTAGTTTGGACTTTGAAAATCGTAGAAATGACACTACGTAGCCACTCTAAAGTGCTGCTATTTAGGAATTCGCTAATGTATTCTGAATTTTAGTTTTGAGATTTTTATCTTCCTATACCATATATGAAAACTTATTACCCTCAATTTTAAGGTTTGTGTTAATTACATTTCAGCATACCAAATTACCATTTATATACCATAATTCAAATTAGGGATATAATTAAGGGTCCATTTATATTAGGCGCTAATTTAGGACCGCATCTTCCCACATTTACCTTTACCCGTCTCTCCCCCTCCCCCCCCCCTTTTGGAGATGGACAGTAGCATCAATAATCTTCAGATTAGTTCTCATTTACTTCCCCAAAAACCTTAACTTAGCGACCGTATCTTCAGATTAGTTCTTATTTACCAATTCTCTATTTACACGTACAAAACATCAATGTATCGTTATTTTCATTGACCTCTTTTTTTGTTTTTTTTTTGGGCAGTGACTGAAGGTTACTGGTTAACACAGTCGATTGAAACTCGAAGAAGAAGAAGAAGAAGACATATTTCCAGAAATTGTAGATAAATTGTAGAAAAATTAAAAAAGTTGTAGATAAATTGTAGACTGTTTTTTGTAGAAGATTTTGTAGAAGCTTTAGTCGTTTTGGATTTGTGAAAACAGAAAACAATGCATCTACAATCAGAATACAAATAATCTACAATTTATCTACAAGATATCTACGAAATGGATACATTGAATTTTAATATCCCAATTCTCATTTCAATTGTAGCATAATTGGCATTTTCGACATAATTGTAGAAGATTTGTAGAAGTTTTTGTCTTCCCAATCTACAATTTATCTACAATTCTACAATTTAACTACAGTTTATCTACAATTCCTGGAAATATGTCGTCTTCTCCTTCATCTTCGAGTTTCAATCTGAAATTCAGTCAAAACCAAGTCTAATCTTCACCAAAACCCCTCAAAATTGAGATATAAACTCCTAAACATATTCCGAATTATTACAACAACACCCAATCCAAACAAATAATGATTTTTGAAAACCCAAATTTGAATTCAAAGCTTTCAAGCTTTTTAATGGCTATCAATGGTGAAAAATATATGGAAGAACAGATGAAGAACAGAAATCTCCTTTCCGTTTCAATATTCTTCTCCTAAATCTGTTCAGAATATTCACGCCAAATCTGTTCAGAATATTCTTCTCCTAAAATTTAGCTCGCATAAATAGGAAGATACAACCGCTATTAATTAGCTTTTAATGATTGGTACAAAAACTGTAGAAATAATATGGACTGGACGGGTAATTTAGGAATTATGCACATTTTTTGTAATAAGATTTCATATATGGTATAGATAAGAAAAAATCCCTTTAGTTTTTTAGTTCAATTTTTCGGGTCATAAATGACCTGAATTATCCTAAAGTTAATATTTTAGTTTAAATTTTTAGAACAAGATTAAATACTGACTAATCCCTAAATAGCAGCTCCAAGAATAATTGTCAGTACTTCTCCCTTTGAAATTTGCAACTTTTGTATCCTATGGAACCCAATTTTCTGGAATTTTTGTACAAATAGCCGCCGAGTTTACTGCTTGTTTTTTCTAGTCGTTAATATAAATTATACACTAATTTTATACGTTATACATGAATTATATACATATATATCAGTAATTTCTAGTTTAAGTTGTTGACTGAGCGGCTATTTAGGTTAGTCCTTCTATTATATAATCTTGATATCAGCCCTTATTTTTTTTATCCTTAACCAAAAAAATTTATTTTTCAATTATTTTGAAACTCTTAATTAAATTTAATGTTAGTCTCCTATTATTTTACTCTAATTTCCAAAATATATTTATAAGAAAATAGAAGAAAACAATTATAAGTTGAAAAGTTAGAAAAAGTTGGAGAATTAAGGTTAATATTGTAATACTCCGTAAATTTTTGTGATTCTTTTTGAACTATAATTTTCTTGTCGCGCGATTTAATCATATGAAATTATTGGAGATAGTGAAATTCATGCGAATAATGTTTGTGAATAGGCAGAAGTGCGTTCGAGTTGTTAAAAAGGACCCGAGTTATTGTCTGAATATTTTTTCTTTTAAAGTGTATACTACTAGAGAAGATAATGATTGTTTAGTTTACAAATGGTTGGATAGTTGTATTTTTTTTTTTTTTTGGAATTAATATTTATATATTAAAGGATATGTAAAAGGTCTCTTGAATTAGATAAGTGGCTAGTGGACTAATTTATAAATGGTGCATATTGATGGGTAATACAGTAATTGTTAATAATAAATAATGGTGAAGTGGGATAGGCCCATATCTTTCTTGCTGAGTACGTGTTGAAGACCTAGGGCATAAAATAAATAAGAGAAATAAGGCCTTAGTTCTTTAAGAGATTAAGTGCTCGTTTGGATTGTCTTATTTTAAGTGCTTTTAAGGCAAAATAACTTTTAAGTCATTTTGTAGTGTTTGGATAGAGTAAAAAAGTGCTTTTAAGCACTTATTTTTAAGCTAAAATGACAAAAACAAGCCAAAAGTCAAAAGCTAGAATTCCTAACTTATGGCTTAAAAGCTATTTTGACTTTAAAACCACTTAAATTAAGCTCATCCAAACGGGCTCTATAGCACACATAGAGGAATACTTGCCGGAAGAGGATGCCTGATTTTGATCAACGAAAAAGCTAAGAAAAGAAGGCAAAGAAAACAAACTAGGGACGCTTGGCTTTGCTCAGATTGAGGCCATTAGAGCCCGTTTGATTGGTGTTCTAGAAGTCACAAAGTTGGGAAACTCTTTGTTAGCGAGGCAAGTGAGACTTTAAACTTTGATACTTGCTTTTCTAAAATCCGTTTTGAAAGTATATTTCTCTTTGCTTGGTCCATGTGTCCGGACAAGCGTGCGCTCGGTATAATTGGTGGTCTTAGACCAGCCGTAAATATATTATTTTATGAAAAATAAAAAAAATAAAAAATATTTTATAAGTTGTTTGATGGCGTGATACGGCTGCTAATATTGAGTATGATACTTTGATACGGTTGTTGATCACGCCCAACTCTAGTCCTAAAAAGGATAAGCGGTTGCTACAAATATAATCCGATCTAAAAGTCCGGAGTCGAATCCCACAGAGAACTAAGGCTTAGCTATATCTGTTTAATATCACTAAGAAGACAAGTTTGAACAATTTTCTAAATTGTAAAGATTGAGATTTATATTTCTAACTAATTAACTAGCAAATACTACAAAACGGTAAAATTATCAACTAACGAGACAAAGAGTTGGAGACTAAATTAAGGAGGTCTAGAGTTATGATTTTCCCAATTGTCGGAATCCTTCTATCTATGTTCCCTACAATTTTGCCAATGTATTCTCTACTGATCGTGAGCACTTTAGGTGCCGTAATTCTCTCTCGAGCAACCACAACAATTTACTAGACATTCTCTCGAACTACACTAGTTGGCTTTATCGAACCGCTCATTATGACCACGTCAAGGCTTTGTTATTTCTAAACCTGCATTTAAACCCGCTGTATTGAATTCTCACATACGTTAGGAGTGACGTTGTTCAACAACCACCTAAATATGTATCCTTTCTCAAGCAACAAATAATAAATAGGCACAATCAATCGATGGCCGTTCAATCAACAACAATAAACACGTAGTTGAACAAGTAGAGAAATCCAACGGCTCAATTATATAAAAACATAACAAGAATTTATCCTACAAAAGGTTCCATCAAAACCTTAGATAACAAATTAGCAATTTATAATAGTATGTAAAACTAAAATACTAAAAATGATAACCAACAATGAAAAATAGGAAGAGGAAGGAAAAACTCGTAGAAGAATTTCCCGCCTTGCTCCTATTGTGTCTCTGCCTCCTTAGGTCGAATCTGTGTCAAAAATTGGTCTCCTCCCCCAAAAATACCGTTTTCCATGTATATACCAAGTAGGGTCGGGCCCAAACTATTATACCTTCTCCTACGAGAAGAAGGACAATTTTTTCAGGTCTGGACGCCGCGGTCGCGGTCAACCGCGGTACGAACGCGGTATATGGCAAGTATACTGCCTCAGCCCGCCTCAGGTCCGCGGTCGCGGTTTCGACCGTATTTTTCACCCTGTTCCGTTTGGAATTTGGAAAAACGTAAAAGATAGAAGTTGTAGCCCTTTGAGTTAGATTTTCAACCATATATTTTGCAGCCCAAATGGAGTTCTGAGCAAAAAGTTATGTGCATTTTACTAGACAGTGCGTAATATACCTACTTGATTCTTTGTTTTGTTGCTCTATCATCCGCTGATCCCCGAATACGATCCCGGCTTAATTCCTTGGGGTTTTACTCAGAATTAAAAGCTCCAAATCACTTGAATTCATTCCATAACATCTACATAGCTCGGTATCACCCCTACAAGGCATAAAACACACAATTAGTGCAAGACACTAGCGATTAAAGCTCAAACTCAATTAAAGTGCAGTAAATTTGAGTGTAATAAGCGACTAAAATAAGTAACTATAGCCTATCATCAACACCCCACACTTAAACCATTGCTCGTGCTCGAGCAATCAAACTACACTTTATATAGACACGACCTTTTTAAACAATTCTCCTAACTCATCACACCAAGAGTATTTAAAATACACTAAGCACAAAAGCGTAACATCTTTACCTCAAGATTTGACTCACAAGTACCACGCATTATTCACAACTCACCCACTTACTCTAACATAAAGGCCACTGACATTACTTTTCCTTCATGAATCAAGTACCCTCACACAACAAAAGAGAGTAGTTCCACACAATAAAATTTAAGAACACTTAGGAACTCAAGATAGAAAGAATTCACCCACTCTCAGAAATAATATTCATATGCCACAAAAGATGCACCATAAGCTTGCCCGTAGTGTACTACTCCACTAATCGAGCTCA